TACTCCATTTTTTTTGCAACATAATTAATCTTCTGTTGAAGTAGAATTTGTCAATTGTTATATTGAACTTTTTTTATTCTTCATTCATTTTTGCATGAACATAATTTAATTAAATCTTCATTGTAGTCTTTTTTTATTTTTTATTCCATTTCTTTTGCAGCATAATTAATCTTCTGTTGAAGAATTTGTCAATTAAAATATACATATTTTTATGATAACTATCAATTATGTAATTATTTTTAAAATTTCTTTATGAACTCGTAATTCTCTCTGTAGAAATATAAATTGTAATTCTCTCTGTATAATATATTTTTATATTATAAAGAAAATGGATAAAATATAATATGAATAAAATTTATTCCTATTTATATTATATATGCATAAGTAGGAATAATTAATACATTAAACGAATATATTAATTTAATATATGAAAAATTAATATTAATATTAGAGTAATTAATATTAAACTTTGCATTAAGTATCAAATTTATAAACATAGATTATAAAAAAACTTTGGCAGAAAAGATAATATCTAGAATATAAAATAAATCTATTGTATTATCTTATTTCTTTAATTAATGTTATTATTTTGTTAATATTTTTTCGATATGTTAATACTCTAAAATTTTTTGCAATATTAACTCTACATACACACACACATACATATGAATATTTTTATACACAGAATAATAAAACAAATCAATTGATACAAAGATAGTTATCAAAAAATTATGCAAATAAAGAATAAAGTTTAAGATATACTATAACTATTAGTTTTTTAATAACTACGTACATATTTGATGTCATTTTTTATCTTTTCAAAATTGTTCTTATTTGATAATTTTTCAAGTTTTTCATTTACTTTATATCTTCAAATCAAAAATAATTGCTGTGGCATAGATGTATTCAAGATAGAGAAGGAGAAGGGTTGAAGGATTCAAAATTCTTTTGTAAAATTATATTTTGCACTTCCAAGTAAATAAAAAAAATTAAAGAGTTATGATTTTCCAATATTTTTCTCATTCAAAATTAGAAATGAGAAGACATTCCAAGTTCTAAAAATATACAAAAAATATTCAAATTCATTAATTGCTGTTTATGTGATAACAGAATTCATAAATCTTCATCCTTCAAAAATCTTCATCCTTCAAAAAATCCTGGATACATCTAAGCGCTGAAGAGGAGGGATTCGATTGCACACATTGTTGATTGACCAATTAAATATAAAATTTTCAAATCATTGGTCCACTGGAAAATTCCTAAGCATCGGCCGAGTAAATGAATGTGTGTTAACAAGACCCCTCTAGACCCTCTCTATCAAACTACTTTTCTTCTGCTGAAAAAGTTCTTAAACTTGATATGTAATTTCTAGTACTATTCTAGTACTTCTCTTGCTTGATGTTATCTTCATGAAGTTTTGTATAAGTTATAATTTTTATAATAATATATAAAGAATAAATCTACAAATGCATTAATTTAGTACTAATAATTTTTGAATATATGTAAACAGGTATATTCGACAAAAAATAAGTAATTCAGACATTATATATCTTTTTAATTTATTGAATAAATTCAAAAGATATTTAGCTTTTATTCTTTCTTTAATTTATTTAATCCAAAAATTAAAAAGATAAAATAAATGCTGATAAAGATAAAGTAAATCTTAGATGACCATATAATGCCTGAATTATATTATCTAGTTTTAAAATGCTTGTGCTTGATATTATAATTGATATCATTATAAACATCATTATTATTATTCAAGATCAATGTCTATTTTGATATAACACTGTATTTTGATTATAACACTGAAATGCTCATTTATTGCAGTGTTAAATCATAACGAAGTTTTGACAAAAAATAAGAATTTAGCAAACAAATTAAAAAGAAAAAATTACCCTCTCTTCTCTTAACAATCACATCTTCAGGATTAAGTATATCTCGTTGTAATTCAGGAACTGGACCTTTTACAGGAATATTTCTATGAATATCAACTTTAATTCGACGTAATTCCGTAGTATTAATTTGTGCATTCTGAGGACCTCTGAATAAAGGTACTGTTCCACTTGTATGCCCATCTGATCTAAAAGGAATTCAACAATAGTATTGTCAAAAATAAGATGCCAATAATAAAATGTTAATAATAAAGTAAAAATAAATTAATACTAATTACTATATTCTCAATATTAAGATATTGAGAGAATTATATTTTCATATTAACCAAACTACTATTTTCTATAATTGAATTTTTGGATATATCATTTTTTTTTAAGAAAAATATTTTATTTTTTATTGTATCAATAAAATATCATATTCTTTTCATTATTTCAAAAATATCATAGTCATCTATATCATAAAGTTAACATAAATAACCCACAATTTGTTAATTAAAATATCTTGTGTTTGGTTCATCCTTGTACTCAAATTATTATCATTAATATTGCATTAATTTTTAATTTAATTTATAATTTCTATTAACTTATACATAATTTTTTGTATATAATTTCTTATATGTAATTTTTTCTATCTTATCTTTTCTATATTTTTATTTCATTAGACACTACAGATGCATACTATTTCTTTTCTGCTATATATTTTTTCAATTAAATATAAAATTCAACTCTATCAATGTGTCATAATTATGTACACATATTGTATGCATATATTTATATTTTATTATGAGCAATTATATAACATAAAGAAAATTACTTATACACAATTACATAATCATATTATTCAAGGAGCGACACCCGTTTGATCACGTCAATTGACCTTTAGCTACTCACTGTGCTTGAACAATGGAAAAATTCTAGATACCGGCCATTGTGAGTGGTTGTGGTCAATCGGGACGTGGTCAAACAGAACGCTCCCATCTTTCAACATTTAATTGATAAATAATCACAAGATTCTATAGAAATAAAAGATTATCACATAATTTATAATCTTGGTATTCATGATAACAACTATATGAGATTGTCACATATAGTCAAAATACATATTGTCAAAATATAAAATTTCTGTGCCGAGTTATTCTCATAACATAAAGTAAACATAAAAAATAAGAAAATTACACATGAAGAATGATAATAATTAAATTTCTTACATAGCCTTTTTAAAAATGGATTTTATTGAAATATATCTGATACTTCTACCTATCTCTCTTGAGTATTAATAACTTTATAAGATAATATTAATATGTGTGAAAAACTCACTTTTCATGCAGGCTACCAGATTTGGAGGCAGTTGATGTAGATCTATCTCTATACCGAAGATGTAAAGGAGATTCACTACCACTTTTGCTTCGACTATGACGCGAGGATTTTTCTTCAGCATATTTTAAAGCTAATGCACGTTTTTTTTCATATTCTAAAATTTTTTGTTGCTTCAATTTTTCATGTTGTCTCTCTCGTTCTTGCTGGCGTTGCCATTCTCGTCTACGTCTCTGTTTCTCTTCTTCAGTTCTTGAACGTAAAATTGAATAAGTATTATCTTCATTATGCGTTGATCTTGACTCCTCATCTCCTCGGAAAGTTGTTGATCGCATTGGATTCATTGTTGAAAATACAAAGTAAAATAAATCCTGCTGAAATATATCAATCAGATTAATCATTGATCAGCTGAAAAAGTTCATAATTTAATTAACATAAGAAATGTCTTTTGTCATTTTCTTCATTATAATTAGGTTTTAAGATTAAATTTAAATTTTGAACAATTTTATATTAAATTTTATAATTCAATATCATGTAATAATTTATAATTTATGATTTCAATAAGTTAGAATGAATATATCATTTGTAAGTCTATTCTGTGACTTTTAACAATTTTATTATTTTCATTATGTACTTAGATATATAATACAAATATGGTATATAAGCCATAAAATTATAAGACTCATATAAACTAAATAACGAGCAGCATTACAGAACACATATACTGCAAAAGTATATTCACAATAAAATTATACTTTTTAATTATTATATGCATTTATATAAAAATACAAATGTATTCAGGTTTGATATAAAATTTTATAGATACATGTAAAATAAAATTTGTTTATTTCAAAGTTCAATAATTAAAACTTAGCAATTAAAATATATTAAAGTTTTTTTAAACAAATTAATATGCATTAAAAAATATATATGTGTATATGTATGTATATGTGTATGTGTGTATATATACATATATATATGTATATACATATAAATCAATTATTCTCTCTCTTGCATGTGTATTAAAAATAATATTGATTCTATTAATTTATTACATTTCTACTAAGAAGATAAAAACTGTGATCTATTTGATATTATTTTAAAATGTTTATAACACTTAAATAGATCTCAGCGTCACTTATATTCTATTATTTTTTTTCTCAATAAAAACTCTCGTTTTTTTTATAAGATTAATAAATTACAATTTATATTAAAACAAACGATTTTCAATATAATACTATATCATACTAAATTTAGATAAATAAAATTAAAATAAAACATATTCTAAGAAATGAAACAGATCCTCTCTTAGAAATATTTATTCTACTTCATAAGAAAAAATTTTAGAAATATTTACCACTAAAAACTTCACAGATAAATACCAGCTGAAATGTGGCTGTAGTCTTTGACAGTAACTAAGAAAAACTGCTATATCTCAGTCGATGAATCAATTTCGAAATCTTGATTAATTGGAATCAACACAACAGATATCTAGGATTTTTCAACAATATGAAATAATTAAATACTTTAAAAATGTGTAATTTAAAAATCTTGTAGGTTTTAGAACAATCAGAGTTAAAAATCTAAATTAAATAAGTGTCTAAAATAAGTATATTTCTGGTTATTATAATTCATGTGATTAATATTATTATTATATTATTATTATATTATTATATTATTATTTCCTATAATATCCAAATAACAATAAAAATTTTAGCTGAACTTTTCATATAACACCTTCAAACAAATTCAGAACAATTCGCCATATTCTGAATTCTAACTCTCTCTTCTCAGCCATCGTTTAAATAAGGCCAAAATGGTTTCAACTCCCGTGTTAAAATGGTGAACTGTTTTTAACGCCATCTAGAAGTCGACACCATAGACATAATATATCTAGACCATGGTGTCTAGACTAGGGAATCAATCATGTAACTTTATGTGAAATTTTTCACTTTTTACTTTTCATTTTTCACATCTTGACATTTCATGTGAAACTTTTCACATGAGCGTACTTTTCACGTACAGCGATTATGTATGTAGTTTGGATGCGTAGAAAGTGAAATCATGAAACATAGTTTCATAGATTTTATAGCTAATGAAATTATTTTATGGTATTATTTTTGGTACAGTATTATATACTTTATATTAACTATATTACTTACTATTAACACTATTATATACTATCTTTTAATAACCAATTGTATATGTACTACGTACACTTAATCCTAACGTAGCTCTAATCTTCTCTAATTCCGAAGCATATTTATTAATTCCCTAGATTTCCGCCTTTCTGCCGCCAAGGTACATGGCGAAAAAGTTCACGTGAAAAATTTCACATTTTCACATTTGAGAGAGTTACATGATCCCTCAAAATCATACATGATCATAAATTCACGTGAAACTTTTCACTTTTCACATTTCCGCTCTAGGGGAAAAGTTATATGATCGACCTCCAGGAGTGTTGCCGTAGAGAAACATGCCCATCCGTACGCCTTTCGTCCCAAACTGTCGTTTAGATATCTGTTTGCTATATAATATATTTATATATAGATATGTCTATTTATATATAGATATGTAAATTTATAATCAAGCAAATAAATTATTAAGAAAGATTTTAAGAAAACAAAATTTATTTTATTTACAGGAGATCTGGAATTTTAACTAGCTTTTAATGAAATAGATTTTACATATGACACAATACAATGCGAAGCGGTAGATAAGTCCTGGTGGGTGGGGCCCGTTTGATCGAAAATTTCAAAGAATCGATTCTAACATTCGATTTTTTTTTATTGAATTGATTTTTAGAATCGATGCATCGATTACAAAAAAAGTCATTTCTTAAAAATCGATTCTTTTAGGCTGACTTTTCACCTGACACTGAATTTTAGTGTCAAATTAGATCACGTGATCAAAAATGACTATTCAAATTTCACTATTCTGTTTAATTTTGATCATGTAATCTAGTTTGACGCTAAAATCCAGCGTCATAGCGTCAGGTGACAACATAATCTTAAAGCTACTACTTTTTGAAAAGCGAGGAAAATTTGATTATGTAATAACGCAAAGAAATTGGAAAAATTAGAGAAATTTTAAAATAATTAAAAAATCCTATTTAATAATATGAAATGAGAATCAAAGAATCGATTCTTTAAAGAAGGGAATCGATTCAGTAAGAATCAAGATTTTTAAAAATCTATTAAAAATCGATTATTTATTGTCCAAAATAATCGATTTTTTAAGAATCGAAAAAGAATTTCGCACATTACACTATAAAGCTACAAAAGCTTCGAAGCGTTTGATTAACCAATTAAAACAAAGAATTCTATTGACCAATCAAAAAATGCTTCGAAGCATTTGCATTAAATGGATTGCACTCCATGTGTTCCGAAACTCGATTTGAATTCTATAATGGAGAAATTTTAACCTTGTCACGTCTTCTGTGTCTAGTTTTTCTAACTGGTTTTCATCAATTCATTTCTTGTCGGATATTAAGATTTCTTAAAAAGAATTGTATTCTCTAGATCTCTAGATTATAAATATTATAGATTGCTTAATTGCAACTAGAATAAGCTATGTTCATGGCAACCTATAGGTTAATGTTTCCTATTAATGGGAAACAGTTTAACCCGTTAACTTTATCTTGTATTAGGTAAAGAAAATTATTTTTTACTTATTATATAATTAATAATTTAAGTTTAAAAAATAATTCTCTATTGTTTATGATTCATGAAAGGATAAATTTTTTCAGTAGGATAGAAATTATATAAATTTATGGTTACATGAAGATTATCATGTATTTTTACCTTCTCAATCATCTCATTTCCAAGAATATATTTTAATTAAACAAAGAAAGATATTAAAATGATTGCTATCAAAATATTTGTATACTAATATTGATTTTTTAACTTTATTTATTTATTTCATAAATGTATAAATAAATGAGTAAAATAGGATTCAAAATCTTAATATCTTAAAAATAACATTTTTAATTTTGTCAGGAAATTTACTTCTGCACAAGATTTTACTACATCTAAAGGAAACGTAGAAGAAAATCCCTTGCCACCAAAACCAAAGAAACCACTAAATATATTTGTACAATATGTTGAATCTATAAAAGATAAATTGCTTAAAGAATATCCTGATTATAAACATAAAGATATTTTGAAAAAAGCTTCAGAAAAATGGGCACAAATCGATCCAAAGATAAAACAGGATTTGAAAGACCAATATCTTGAACAAAACTCTATATATAAGCAAAAATTAATTGATTATGAAAATTCTTTAAGTGATAAGCAAAAGATGCAAATAAAAGAATTACAGAAAAAGAGGCAAATAAAAGATCTGAAAAGGAGTGAAATTAAACAAGTGAATATTAAAATTACTGATATTTATGCATTATACAAAATTTTAAAATATATAACAGTTTTTTTATTTTTTTAACAGAAACTGATAGAATTTGGGAAACCAAAACATCCATTGACTTCTTTTATGTTATTTTTGCGTGATAAAAGGCTTACAAAAAATCCACAAGTACCTTATAAAGTAAGCTAATTATGTAATCTTTTAAACCATGTCTATCATATTTTGGTATAGATTGTTTAAATATTTTTTTACATATTTTTGTATATATTTATGTATATATGTTTAATAAACACTTTAAATTTTTCTGAAGAAGGTTATAAATAATTTTCTTCCATGTTTCTAGGATTGGATGAATAATGTAACCGAAGAATGGAAAAATATAACAATAGAAATTAAAAATAAATATAATGCAGAAGCAAAAGAATTAATAGAAAAATATAAGATAGACATGAAAAAATGGAAGGAAGATATGATTCGAGCAGGTCATCATAACATTGTAAAACCCAATATTAAACATAAGTCTGAGTCTCTGAAATATAAAGAATAGGATTCAGAGTGCCCCAATCAATGCAATATGCCCATTGCTGATTCCGCTGCTGCTAATTTTTTCAATATTAAAACTGAAAGCAAAGAAAATATTAAAATAGGTTGGGGCACTGATATTACACAGAATACACTTGGACATAATCTTGATGCTAATAAAAATAATACAGGTAACATTAAAAAAATGACTTTGTTTATATATAATTTATGAAATTTTAAAACATTTTGTTTAGATCAATGGTATAGCTCTACAAAAGGCTTGAGACTTGAAAATAGCAAAAATACTTTACAAACTTCAATGAACTCAAGAAATGCAGCAATAGATGCATCGATAGATAAAAAATCAATTACACAACCTCATGATATACATACACAAATACACATATATTTTGTTTCTGCATGGAAAAGAGTTTTGAGAGTGTTTTGTGAGATTAGTAAAAACTGGAAAATGGTAAGAGAATATATATTTATTGGTTCAATTGCTATTATAATATCAATATTTTGCGTTTTAAATCTTATGTATAAGTAATCATTGTAAATACCGACATTAATTGGGTAATTTGTATTTTATTTTTATATATTATACACTTTGTAATTTGTAATGATACATTTTATTTCTATAATAAATTTATATGATCGTCGTTTCTGTATAAAATATTATTGTTAATTAAAATATTCTTATTTGCTATATTTTCTATATAATATATAGAAAATAGCGTTAATATCAATAGCTTAAGCTTCATTCTTACAAGACATACTAACATTATATTATTTTTTTCTTGTTCTTTTTTATAGAAATTATACTAACCCAAATGTGAAAACTATTATGATGATGACAGCAGCAGATGCATATGGTGACTTACATCATCTCAACATTTTATACATACGTGTTCATTATATTTACATCATTAACAATTATGAAATTTATCTTGAAATAATATTTTTCTCATGAGTTATTCTTTAATTTACTATTTTTTTCTTTCATAAATATATATATTTTGTATATGTATACTTTGTAATGTATTTGTTCATTAGATTCATATATATAATAATTAAACATTAATATATCCTTTATATGCATACATTTTTTTTAAATGTTAATATTATTCTTGTAATAATATATGTTACAATACAACTCTTAATTTTGACTCGAAATTAAGCAAATTTTCTGTTTAATATGTATGCATGTAATGTATGTTCAAATAACAAAATAAAAATATCATGTGTGTTATCATGCTTATTCATATTTGTAATATCATATTATTAAATTTCTCTAAAAAATTTAGAATAAAAAATTTCATTGTATAAAAAATTATGTTTTGGATCTATTCTTTATTTTTTTTTTTTATATAGATTGAAACAAGATTTATCCATATATTAAACTTATCCATCTTTTTTCTAATTTTTTTTACATTGGAATAAAAATAATGTTAAATGAATATAAAACAATGAAATAAGATAACATATTTGTGTAATTTTAATTGGTCAAAAATAAAGAATAGAAATATTGGAAACTTCATATTACATTTTACATAAAATAGTCACAATTGAGAGAAAGAAATCAATTCTAAAATAAATAAAGTTGAATTGAATAAATTATGTAAAGTTTCTTCATTTCAAACTTTCTTTTTTTTCATATATTGACTCCAAAAAGACTATTCGTTCTTCACTAATGTCTATTCTTATCTTCTCCTTATTCTTAACAATCTAAAACTCTTCAAGTTTGATTCAAGGTTCATCAGAAAACATTAAAATTAAAAATATAACTAAAGGAAAACTGAAATTAAAACAAATTAAAATTTTCCTGCTTCTCTTAAACTTTAAATGTATAATCTATTTTGTTTTTAATTTAGCGATTGTATTCAGTTATGTATATCCTAGCTTCAACTATACAGAACAGACCTAAGGTGAACAGCCTTTAGTTAACCTAACCTCTAATCATTTCTGATTTTGCAAATATCCGATAGTAGACCTGTCATTAAGAAGAACAAGAAGAAAAATAATAAAAGTATTTTTTACGTCATAAACGATTGTGAATACAAATCTGTTGTACTTGATCTTTGCTAGCCTCTGTTACTCTCCGCGACTCTTGGTAACGCGCAATTTTAGATGTACATATGATGTGCATATATATATATATATTATAAAAAGATTTATACATTTGCGTCGACGTGTATTCAACTTAATTGTTAAATACGATGATGTCTGAAACGAATGCTAGGAGAGAAGCGAGGAGACGACGGATATTAGAAAACTCAGAAAGTCGTCTACGCAGAATTACGGGAAGGATCGATCCGGACGAAAAGACAGGTATTAAATATAACCAATACATTGAGCAGAAATATGTTAACATACGAAAAATATATAATATAACAGACATTAATTTTAATAAAACAAGTTATTATTCAGTATCAAGAAAAAGATTCGATTATTGTGCTATCAGAAGCATAATCGAATTTTTTTATTTATTATACATTTTTGTCTTTATTGTTATAATCACAAGAATTATTTCGTTAAATTATGGAAGTATAATTCTATATGTGATTACAACGCTTGTAATATAAAAAGAAAATCAATATTGCTGCATATATCAATCATTATTATTTTCGATGTTATGTATAAAGAAAAAATGTATCTTTAATTTTATTCTCTTTTTACAAAATAAATGTACTGATCATTTTTATGTTTTGACAACATTGAAATCTAAATTTACTAAAATTATATGATCTATATATTTGTATTTATGATATTAATTTCAATCTCTGGAGATAAATATTCTAGACGTAATAGAATAAGTGTTGATATAACAAATTGTTTTTATATATTATTGTGTTGACATTTCAATATATTATAGAAAGAAAATTTTTTATCTATATTTTAATTTCTTTATACATTTATATCAATAATATTTATTTTCTATTTTCTATGTCTCATTTTTTCAACATTTTTAAATATTCAGTTTGAACAGATGATTTTTAAGAATATTTTGCAGATAATCCACAAGTAGAAACTGAAACTTTCTATAGAAATCTTAAAGCAGAATCAAATTTTGAAAAGGATAATGTAAGAAATGGTATCTGTAATATCAACAGTAATGTGGAATTACAAGATAGTACAAGATCCAATGATAAATATCAAGATTTTTTAAATAATACTAATGATAAAAATACATATTTACCAAATCAAGTATCCAAGTCGAAATTTATCTTATGTACATTGTTCAATCGTATTAGTTTTATTTTGCTTGCTGGGATCGTTAATATTTTACTGGTGCTGAAACTCGACAATTTATTTGGACATGTATGTATATAATATAATCTTATATTTTATTGGAACTAACTATGCTAATTATGTATATGTGTGTATACATATATATATATATATATATATATATGTATATTCTTTTTTTGTTAATACAGGCAATCCTTATACCTTTTTTCTTATTGATGTTGGGACGTCTTTACAACTATATGACGTTACATGAAGTGCAAGATGGCAGTTTATTAGTCACTGCACTTATATTGTGCAATGTCAAACCTAGATTAATTTATATATGCAAAGTATCATTTGCATTATTTACCATGATACTTAATGATTTTGGTTTATATATGTTTAGTTTTGTACTGATACGTTATGTTATTATTCATTATTACTATTATGATGCTGCAGTACCAATAAATGCATAATTATATATAATAATTGAATAAAAATAAAATGGAAATCTATTTTGGGAATTTATATAATATTAAAAAAGATATTCTTAGAAGAATACAAATTCCGATATATTGCATTATTTAAAAATATGTGTCTATATTATAGATTTTTTACATCTCCAGTGTTATATCATAATTCTGACTGAATATATACAAGTGTTGTATAAGAAACATTATTTTCTTTAAGATACATGTAATATAATTATAAAATAGATTTTGTATATTGAGATAATTCTCTTTGTAATTTATGTCTATGTAAATTGACAATGTTTCTAAGATCTCTGCTTGTTTCTTTTTATCATTGCTAGAGTCAAAGCACTTACAGGATATAAAATAAATTGCAATCATACGATTATTATTAAAGATAATTATGTGGTCAATATGCTCTCTATTTTATGAAAATAAATATATAAATAAAAAAATAAACAAAATATTCATATATTATGAACGTATTATATAATCCTAATCCAAGTTAAAAAGCAAATTAAATTACAGATAGCTTTAAAAAAATTAATACATTACGTAAGCATGTAAAAGTGCGTGCGCGCGTGTGTGTGTGCGTATATACACATACAACTTTTCAAATTGTGTGATCGAAAATTCTGTTTTTAAAATAAGTTTTGAAGAGATATGTATAAAAAATTTGGTTTTTAAACTTCACATTCTTGAGAATTTTAAACTTGGCGCAATATACAATTGTGTCTCTTGATTGGTTATGTGATCGAGACAAGATGCATGTAAAAGTTAACGAAAGACATTTTATGAATGTGTATGCATAAATATATGGCATGCTCGTTATGAAGCTTAGTTTTTCTGATGCAATAGCAGGCTTGTTCATTGGTTTAATATAAATATGTACTTTCGAACGCAAGTAACATAGTTTTAGATTGACAAATGTGCATATTAATGCATGAGATCATCATCAAATTATCTGAAAATCAAGTATAAAATGATGCGTAGAAACATATGTCAAATGGCCAGTTCGATTCATTCAAATTCTCACGCAGAAGTACATGAAGTTCCGATGAATGTGATTATCAGACCTTTCCCTGCCGTAGTGGATGAGGAAAAAGTTCAAAGTTTAATGAGTGCGTTAAAGAATATCGAAACTGAACACACGGTACCACCCATTGATATATTGTGGATTAAAGGAACTGAAGGTAAAGCCATCAAAATAGTTATGTAAAAAATAATTCTTATAATTAGAGATTAAATAACAGTAATTTATAAATGTAGGAGAAATAGTTAACATTATTGATTGTATTTAGGTGGTGACTATTACTACTCTTTTGGTGGCTGTCATCGTTATATTGCTCATCAACGATTAGGCAAAATGTCTATTAAAGCTAAAATAATTCAGTCAACTTTAACGGATTTACGATGTTATTTGGGAAAGTCTACTCCAGACTTGAAATGATTTCAAGTGTGTTTGTAATTGTATATGGATTACATACATATATTATGAATATATATTTTTTAATTATTATTATATTTATACATATTACATGATTACATAATATAATTTGAATAAAAATAATGTGCAATTAATTTTCCAATTTTTATTACTATATATAAATTATGTGATTTTAATACTTTTTTATTTTGTATCAAGTTATATCAGCTTAGGTTTATAATTATGTTTATGATTATGTTCAATAACTTTAAATATTTATAAAAAAATTAATATTTGAAATATTTGAAATTTATTAATTCCAGAAAAATGTTTATAAAATTTAGGAAACTAATTCTCTTCTAATTAATTTTATTTGCATTATATTACATTAGTATATTAGAACTACACAATAATAAATTAAGTTTAAATGCTCTGCATTTATAAAAGACCAAATAAATTGGTGAGCCCTAGATCAAATTTATTAGATTTTATGCATTTCTTGTTTATCAAAATTTTATTATTATTGTGATATATAAGACTATTATATGAAATATTGTATCACAGATAGAGATATAAAAACAAATTCCTAGAAACATGATTGAAACATAAAAGTATATTCAATTAAGATACTTTTGTATTATACATTTACCGTATTATACAAAATACAAACTCTAGAAACGGATTCTAACATTTTTCGATAGATTTTATATTTTTTCTAAAAATTAAAGAAAGGTACAAATATTGTAATGACAAGTACAATTATATATTTATACAATATTATATTATTGTATATTTATAATTATATATCTTAGCATATTTATAACATATAAATAAACAAATGTATGATCTCTATATATCTATATATATATATCCTTCTCCATGTTTTTCCTATTAGGATTAGGAATATACAGGTATTACACAAAAATTTTAGCTTTTATTATTATAATTACACAAAATGTTTTCTATATCGATGTTTCCGATTTACTTCTTTTAAAAAGTACGGTTTATAATTTCTAGTGATATTAACTGTAGATGAACTATCTATGTCTTTAACAGAATGAGAGTGATTTGATTGATTTGTAGGTTTACTATTTCGTAAATGAACTGGTATGATAGATTGCTGTAAATGTAGTAGTTGCGTATTGGTTACTTCACAATCAATTTGCATCATTGTTATATGATTAGGTGGTGTTGAAAATGTACCTGAAAGAGAAAGGTTTTGCTATATTATATAGCTATATATTGTTATATTACTAAATTGATATAATGATGATTCAAATCAAATTATATGTGTATTTTTATATATCTTAACATTGTTTACCGTTTATAGACACAGCAGGTAGAACTAGAGACATTTTAGGTCTAGCTGTGTTATTTTTTCGGGAAGCTGGCAATAATAAATGTTCGCCACTAAACCAAACAACATAAAATGTATCGTCTCTTCTTCCTAAAGCTTCAAATAAAGAAGCATGTTCGCTCAATATCGGCGAGAAGATCTCAATTGCATTATTATCCGGATATTGATCAACGGTGGGAATATCGATCATTTTGTGCAATTTTATTTTTCTATCTCGTGGTAAATACAACTTTCGTTTTGCTCTTTCTTCCAATGGCGATCTTAACAATGATACGTTTAACGAATTTATCTGTAATTTTATTTTTCTTAAAGCAGTCCGATTATCTCGATCAGATTCACCATCGATCCAGCGTCTTAACTCGCTATCTAAACGTATCGATTCACTTTGATTAATATACATTGGACATATTGGCTGATGTATTGGTACACCACTTTTATTAAAATTTTCTTCGATTCCATCTTCTATATTGTTATCGTTCTCATCTAGGGCCCAGAATAATCTTCTGTTGTGTCTATCTTCTGGTATAGATACTATCAAATTATCAGATTCAGTTTTAAAAGGTATATTTTGTGGAAGCGTTTTCCTTAAATAGAAATGAAAGAATACTTTACTTTCATATATAGGATATATAAAATGTATAATCTATATAAAACATAATATTTTCAATTCGAAAATATTTCTTGAAAAAATTTTAAATCTGAAAAAATCCTTTTTTTCTTTTTATGAAATACATTTTTAAAATAGTTTTTTTTCCTCATATTCTCATGTATAAAAATGTATAAAAAATAAAAGATATTTGATATATTTAAGTTTCATCGTTCTTATCATGTAAATATTCACAATGTCATAAAAAAATTATTAAACTTCATAAAATCTTTTTTTTTTCAAAGATCATATTTTAAATATAAATAAAATATTCTGTAATGTTATACTTACCTAAAACCATCAATGTTGAAAGCTATCATAAACATTATACCAAAAAGAACAACAGCACTTCCTTTTACTTTCTTTTTTAAGAAAGGTTTAAAATTGACATTTTTATATTTGTTATTGTCATTTATAATATTGTCTTCCATTTCGGATAGTCTCTGTTTTAAAGTTATATTTTCCTAACAAAATTAAAAAATATTAAAAACCAATTTAATTTTTATTAGAAATTTCCAAAAATTTTGTATATTTTTACAAAAAGCACAAATTGTTTACCGATTTTAATTGTTTATTCTCTTTCTTCAATACCGATATTTCTTTCTCTAAAGACGATACATATTCTTTTTTCTTCTTTCGAGAAAGACAAGCAGATTCTCTATTTTTTATCATTCTTTGTTGTCTTTTTAGTGCTTTCAATGTACATTCCTGATTATCTTTTGACAAATTGAAATCAGTTACTTCGTTTTTTACTAATAATGAGTTGGAATTTATTTCATTCTGTATTACTTGAAATGGCGCATAATTCAAAGTTTCATTGTTAACAACAATATTATTATATTCTATAGATCCATTGTTTAAAAAAGTGGAATTATCTATTGATTCAGTAGTATTTGTTGGACAAATGTTTGGTATAGTATTAATCATTTTCACATTCTGTGGTAATTGAAACGTTGTAGTATTTGTTTTTTTATTAGAATTGATATTTAATGAATTTTGTTGCTTTTGTGCCGGTAATACTCGAAGTTTTGAAGGATACAATATATGTTGTGAATTTGCATTCTGTGCAAATGTAGTAATATCTTGAAGAAAGATAGTATTTTGAAGTTTACCTATAGATATTAAAATAAAAAAATTATGTGCGCACACATACACATACACATACATACACACACCCACACCCACACCCATACCCACACCTATACCCACTCACCCACCCACCAATTTTGAAAATAAAAAGTACAAAATTTTATGAATGCAAAACAAGTTTCCTTGGTTTTGAAAATAAGCTATTGTCCTTGATAAAAAATTGTTCTTTTGTTCTTTTAAATAAAAACAAAATATATTCAGTTGAATATTCAACAATCTTAATGTTTGGAAACTGTGTTCACATTTAGTTTTCAAGAATATAAATATCTTTTTACAACAGCATGTCATTAAAGAATTACATATATATATAAAGATAGTATATTTTTACCATCTTTTGTATGCTGTGCGATACTCTTGGGTTGGATATGAACATGTTTCGTAGAATCAGTTTTTTTAATATATTTGGTATGCATTATATCTTGCTTATTAATAGGTATGAATTTAACATCCTGAGTTATGCCTGATATATTTAAAGATGATTGAGGTGTTTGTGATGATGAAGATATATAGTGTGGAGAAGAAATTAGTGATGTTCCTAAAGTAAACTAGAAAAAAATTTTATTATTAGGCATGGCTTAGATTTTGATATTTCATTAATATTATATGTACTGTAGAATACCTCTTTGTTTATATTTTGTATCGCACAATTTGACACTTCTTGCATTGAACATTTTATTTGTCTGTCTGAATCATTAGATTCTGAATGGTAAAAATTACTGGGTGATAATGGAAATTGTGTATTTGGACTTTCAGGTTCAAATTTAATTTCATTTTTTATCTTAATCGTTTTCCCTGGCTCTATAAATCCCAGCTAATGAATTAATTGTTTTTAAATGATTATATTTTGATATACGTACCTGAACTATTTTGTATATGATCAAATTCTAGTTCCTTGATAGTAAATAAGTCGAATATATCTTTCATAGCTTCACTTGAAGAATTATCAGAATCTGAGATATCTCTCTCCAGTGAAACAGGCATTCCTAATTCGGAACCCCATGATTGGAAAAGATGATCAGGAACGAATTGGTTGCTTTCTTCTATAGGAAAAAAAAGTTTTGATGAATTTAATTTTTTAATGAATAATTTTCAATAAAATAATAGATTCTTTATATTGTTATTTTTTGTATATAATGCAATATTAATAAATTGTGCGATAGTGTCAACGCATAAAGTAAATTACTATTACAAATTCTACTACAAATAGCACGTCAAATTACAACATTACATACGTAAAAGTTTTATGTTCATTATCGATAATACTTAACCTAAAATATCGAATTCTGGAAACATTTGTGTCTCCGATATTGCAATATTATCGCTGTTTCGTTGTCCAAATTCTATACTTGGCATATTTCCGCTCAACGAAGCATAGTTCGACGGCAAAGTTGTACTTTTATATCAAAGTATACTCAATAAACACGCTGAAAAAAAAATTCAAACATAATCAGACACATCAAAAGTTGCGTGGACGAGTCGAATAAGACATAAATACATATGATATATAAAAATAGTGTACCATGCATACACACACACACACACACACACACATTATATATATATTATATACTTCATGTACGTTTATTTCATGATAACATCTGTAAGTCTCACAATAGGTATTTAATCTTTAAGCCATAAAAAATTGACCAATCATAGTCGATTATTCTTTTCATATTCGATTATAATTGGTAAATTTCTTACTTCTTAAAGCTTAAATCACCTATTAGTGTCGGTCCACAATAAGTGATTTAAGCTTTAAGATGTAAGAAATTGATGTAAAGAAATTGATTAAATATTTATTGTGGACCGACACTTAGTGAATAGAATAATCGATTGTGGTTGGCTTATCCTTATTTCTTTACGTTACTTTAAAAAACCTTAAAATC